AGTCACTGGATGTCACAGAAATTCTGCGACCACTCAGTCACTAGATGTCACAGAAATTCTGCAATCACTCAGTACCATGTTGTCGCAGAAATTCTACAACCACTCAACCACTGGATGTCACAGAAATTCTGCGATCACCCAGTCACAAGCTGTTGCAGAAATTCTGCGACCACTCAAGCACTGGATGTTGCAGAAATTCTGCGATCACTCAGTCACAAGTTGTCGCAGAAATTCTGGGACCACTCAACCACTGGATGTTGCAAAAATTCTGCGATCACTCAGTCACAAGTTGTCGCAGAAATTCTGCGACCCCTCACTCACAAGTTGTCGCAGAAATTCTGCAACCACTCAACCACTGGATGTTGCAGAAATTCTGTGATCACTCAGTCACAAGTTGTTGCAGAAATTCTGCAACCACTCAACCACTGGATGTCGCAGAAAATCTGCCATTCCTTTAAACTATCTCAAAAAAATATGTAAAAAATATAACTAATAAAAAATGTCTTATTTTTATCTTGCATTTGCCCTATCCTGTAATGAAAGCCCTTAAGGCCTTATGGATGGAGAGTTAAATTGCAATAAATCCATGCTACATTTCAGTAGTTTCAATACAGGGTGGCTTATTTGTTTATCTGTAAGCCTTGCAGAACACAAGTCACTTAGCCGTCCTCCTCGACGGCCAGGACCTTGCCAATACAGGGCAGTTTATTGTAATTGGCGAAGTACATAGCCACAAAGCAACTGACTTGAAGAGTAGCGGGAAATCATCTACCATTTCAATAGGCGCTTCCCTTTCCCTCAGGGTCCTGTAACGGCCTGTGTAAATCTGAAATATTCAACAGACATGTCATTAGAATTTGCTTGCTCAGGTGAGTATTTCGACTGAGATGAATTTGATATATTAAAGCTCACAAGGCAGCCAGGTGGACAATCAAAAATGGTTTGATACTATCCTGGTTTAAATATTTAATAATTGTAACTTCTCTGTTAAATGCAATGAAATTTATCTTTAAACCAGAGTAGCATCAAACCATGTCTAAAAATGTATTTGTTGGCTCAAATTTCCTTGAGAGACAATAATAAGGGCTTTCTCTTTCCATTTCAATCTTCTTTGACTTGTACACATTATGATCCCAGTCTTAAAGACAGGGAAAAGCAGTGAGATACATTTTAAATTGAGGATCAATTTAAACCCAGCATATTCTTAACATGTAATGTCAGCAAAAATTCAGTTATTTAGAGCATTAATGTTATTTTTCAGGCCTATAAGTTGTCAGTGCCAATGCTACTTCAGAAAACATCAGGTAAGCTTTTAAGTTACTATTTTAACTCTGACTCAGGAACCACAAATTAAGAATTTCTTGTGCTAACCTTCAGCATTACAATGGGCTCTTTCCATGACTCATGGCTCCAATTTCTGTAGTGCATAACTACTTTTCCGTCCTCATTCAAAGTAAATTTGAAGCACTTTGGAACTGTGTGTTCATGTAACTCCTCACAATAATCACTATCCATGATTTTATGTCATAAACCATCTTGAGCATATAGGGCTTGGATGTTGGATTCTTCATGCGTGTTTCCAGTGCCTTCAGTAATTCTAAGTGACAGTGAAGTGTAAAATAAATTAAGATCTTACATGTACTCTGTAAGTAAACATTTACGCCAAATTTATAACATGTCAGTGTCACATTTAATTTGTTAATTTAAGTGGAAGAGTTCATACTTTCTATAGACTAAATTTTGAACCATGCTCTTACTTCATGCAGAAATTTTTTCGATCACAGTGCTAGTTGCTATGTATTTATACTGATAGATAACTTATACTTACTGTCATCGTGAGATTAGAGTCATGAGGATACTGGTAGTAGTCAAATGACGCGTAAATCTCCTTTCCATTTTTTGCTTGTCCATTGTGAATAATGGAACCAACAAGGTGTGTTCCCACAGTTGTAAGTGCAGACATTGCCTTGGTAATGCGGCGTACACTTGGGACATTTGTGGTGTGCTTAAGTCGCCAAGACAATTTGCACTAATGATTGTGAATATATGAAAATCATATATGTGCACTGCGGTGAAGAAACGAATATAAAAGATCCTCGCAGCTATGAACACTACTGAACTAGTAGTTGAAATAAGAACTGAAAAAAATTCAGGCCCGTACGGGATTTGAAACCATGACCTCTGCGAGATATTGCTATGACTGTTGATGTAAACTAATCTGACATTAATGTGTGTTGCCTCGTAGAAAAGAAATCTAAGTGAGATCTTTACCATGGCACAGCTGTCAGGAGAGGGCTGGACTCACTTTAGGACTTTTAACGATTTGCATGAAAATGCCCAATTAAAAGGACAGAAAGCTAAAGCCCAGGACATAGTTAAGAAGGGGAAACCTGTGCTCAGGCAGTGGCAGTTAAAACCCCTCTGCAAGTTGTCTGTAAAAGACCAAACGTTTCTCCTAAAAAAGGTGAGATAAGTGCGACATTGTCCTATAAATCATTATCAAGTGTATCATGTCTTCAACTTTTGTATGAGATGATGTATTAATTCAATTGTTCAATTTTCTTATCATCATGATCATCACGATCATCATCAGGAATGTATCTACCTGAATTGCTCTTTGCTCTTTTAAGCAGCACTGCAGCACTTGACGTTACAGCGTGCAGAATTTCTGCAGCACTTGACGTTACATCGTGCAGAATTTCTGTAGCACTTGACGTTACATCGTGCAGAATTTCCGCAACACTTGACTTTACATCGTGCTGAATTTCTCGCGAGTACTAGCATCCCATCATGCCAAGGGAACCGAGTTAAACTATCTATAGCTGGGTGGGCCATGTGACTCGAAAACAGACATTTTTCACTCACCTGCATCTATAAAATACATTTTTGAGTTAAATTCGACGCTGTTTCACAATTTCATTTTCATATTTTCTTTACGAATTTACCAAACTAATGATATTATATCAATAAGTTGATGACTTTACAAAAAAAATTACTTATCTACTCCGGAAGACCGGCAAACTGTTCAAATAAAATAAACATTCTGAAAATCAAATTTTTTTTTCAATGCGAATGCAAAACAAACACGAGACTACGCAAATGTTGTTAATTGAACTACAATAGTTTACGTAACACCAAGAAAAACCATAAATCGAACTCGTAGATTAAACCAGTTAACAAGACAGTGTTTTTCTCATTTCCATGGGCCGTTACGCCTAACGACAAGTAGGGGTTAAAAGCAGGCTCAGTTCAAATAAAGAAAAGAGCTGAAATTAAAATGGCACTGACTTAAGGTATCTGTAGAAGGCTATACCGTTACCATAGCTACCAAATAAATGATCGAGGGTTGCAGGAGATTGCGCGGCCGCACAAAAATATTCATATTTTCTTTAGTGAATGTTTCTCTTTCAAATTTACGACAGAAAGTCAAAGGTTCCCAACTAGCATATAGATAGAGAATTATCACTGGACAAAATTAATTTTTTCTGTTTGCATTTTTAAAGGTAAAGCATCATTTATTTGGATGATTTATCTTCAATATAAACCATATTTTCTGAGCTAACATATAATCAAATCTTAGATAAAGACAAGATTGATCAAGAACAACAGAGGCGACAAATTCAAGTTAACTTTAAATTAATTGGAGGTTTTGCCATCACAACGCTAAGCGATGAAAAATTTCTTCCACCTTGATTTGTAGTATTTTAATAACTCAGACATGTTTTTCTTTTTGTTATGTTTCTTAATTAGATAGAAAGTTAAACAAATTTCCATTTAAAAAGCCTTAAGTGAAATTAAAATTTGTCGAGGACGAAATGAATTTAAAGCAGATGGCTTTGAAAAGTTTCATAAACTTAATAAGAATAGATCTAGAATTATGATTGATATCTGCCAAATGATCAAGTGGTCAGTTTTTTTTTTTGTAAGCAAACAAACTGTTTCATTAAAAACTTGTATTCACAACATACCTGTTTCACCTGGTATTTTATTTCATTTCCCTGGAGCAGTCCAAGGCCGAAGGGAATGTAAGTTTGAAGTCCATCTTCTTTACCCGTTAGATCATCTCAAAAGAGGCTATTTCAGCTTTAAATAATTTCAAGGTCTTTTGTGAATTCAAAAGAGAATTGCACTATTTCCTTTCCGTGCCAGAATTCTTTCACAAGGTTAAGTAGGCAAGGTCCGAACTCGAGCCTTATGACCCATCTAGCTGGAGCTTTTCCCGGTAGCATGAAAAGACTAGGAGTATTACAACTCTCACTTAGATGGGATACTAGGGTTAGAAATTTCACCGGTAACTCATTTATATTCCTTGGTGGAAGAGACACCGTAGTGGTAAAGTGTTTTGCCTAAGAACGCAACACAATGACCCCCTGCTATATCTCGAATCCGAACATCTCCAACCAGAATCCAGCGCGTGAACCGTTACCTTAATTCACCGCTTCTCCACAAATTCAGTTAAAAATTATCAGACCACGTTAAAGGAGTTGCGTTATTTACGATATTATTAATGGGTTTTTCTATTTTCGGTTCTATCCTAAACATCCACATTAGAATGTAAACTATTAATATCAAAAAGGACCTCATGGTGACATTCCTGAAGTATACGTGCCTACAATCATAAAGCACTATGGCCAGTCAGTAACAAAAATGGAACTCTGAGAGAAAAACGCAAACTTTTTGGAGTGATCATGAATATTAAAATTCATTAATGTGCTGAATAAATAATAATCTAAAACCGTCTTCGCTTAAAGGCAGGATAGCTGAGAAGCAGTAAAAACGTTGCGATCTTAAATCAAAATCTGAACTCTACAATTTACTGTGACTCTAACTCGTGCGACAAAGGATTTTACATCATTTATTACTTTCCTTTTGTCTGTTTTACCGTATTATGAAACTTTGAAAACAACTACCAAACTATGAATTAATTATGAAAAAATCGAAATATTTTCTTCATAGAAACTGCCTGAAAATGAGATACATTATCAGTTTGATTGTCACTTTTGCCACCATGGTGTGTTTTGCTATCGGGTGCCATCAGTCATCATGTGGCACCTTTGAAACGCACCAGTACGTGTTCAGGATTGGCCAGTATGACTGCGAATGCGAGCCATTTAGAGCTGGTCAGATGAAGTTTGTTGAAGGGAAGGTATACGTGTGTGATGGTACTGAGTGGAAAGCCCTGCAGTACGAAGCACCATTAGGTTCCAGAAGTGACCCCGGATTTTCGTGCAAAGACATCAAGGCTCACTTGAAGGACGCGACTAATGGCATTTATTGGATCACCTTGACGGGTAATTTTTAATCTACTGATGCTCCTAACTCCTATGAAGTGTTCTGAGAGTATTTGATACCTTGGTCGGGTATGTACAATTAATGACTAGCGGTGTGTTGGGGGAAGGTCATGTCAAACTTTCGGCAAGATCACTTCAATTGTAATGACTATTCAGGATGGGTTTTGATGATCACCTTATGTGTTCCCTTTGGCCTTTCCTTTTTTTTTCTCCTTTCACCCTCGTCAGGTGGAAGGAATGTGAAAGAACTTGCGCGGTTGTTCGGTTAATTCGGCTGAAACACTTCCGATTACCAAATAATGTACTCTACGTTATTTGTGTAGAAGTACAAAGGTGTAGAAATAAACCATCAGACTATCTGTTCAACATGGGAATAATAATCCATGGTACTCATGATAGACTGTTAATAGCCCTTAAAAGTTAGGTTTCAGTTTCCCAATGACACATCCTTTAGCCTGTAAACTTCTATAGATCCTAATTGATGTAATTTTTGTTTTTATTGTCATTACTAGACAGCAAAGACTCTTTCCCAGTTTACTGTGACATGGACGCCGGAGGTAAGTGCCTCGGGATTTATTTATTCACCCATTGTTCGTACAATCCTCCCGAAGGATTTTTCAATATGAGCCGGAGTCGTCCAATTAAGGGCTTCGAGAAGAACAGAAATCCTCGCATCTTCACGTTTAGGAACCTTTCCTGCTTCATGAAATTTTTTAAATAAAGGCAGATGGGACGGGTCTGGAGAATTTTGGCATTGTAGTCTTAGAACCCGTCCTGTAACTGCTACATGTGATCATTTTGTTATGGCATATTTCGCATGTGTATCATATTTGTTATGAGTAAGGAATGTTTCCTGCCTGACCTTGGAATTTATAGGTGTAACCTTAAGCTTCTTTTTGGTAAAATTATCACCCATTTCGAAACTGCTGCGCCTGCAGTAAAATAGTTTTTAAATGTTTGTTTTGATTTTGAATTGATAGGCTGGACCATGGTGTTTAAAGCTGTTAGTGGAATCCATAAAAAAGTGTATCCTACTTTCAACTCGCCTCACACATCCTCTGAGAAAGTCATGGCCGCTCTCGACGTCACGAACAAACACAAAGACCACTACAAGAACAGAATAGTGTTGAACTGGGCTGACTTCCACGCTTCTGAGGTAATTGGAACATAACGTGACTACCTTAGTCAAAATATTCACACAATTCTCGCGCGTGATTGGTCAAACAGTGTATGTTGATAGATTTGAGCATTGATAGGACAGTTTGATCGTAATACCTCATTTATTGGACTGCTCTCGTCACCTAGCAAGCTTAACTCAAACGAAAACTGTTCTAACTAAGTCATGGCTTCAATGAGGGTGAACTGTTGATTGGAAACGAAATTTTGTCATTGTAATGCTGATAAATGTGATTCAGGTAAGTTCCTTTACATTCCACGTGTTTAAGGAGGCCTTACCACTCCGATCCCCTTCACCAGCTAATAAACGTTCTGTTTAAAACAGGCAAGAGTTGTCCTATACACTGGAGGAAAAATCGTGAAGGAAGTAAAGTTAAACGCGAGGGGATCAGACAAATTGAATTGGTTTGCGACTCCCAGACTGATCGACAGCTCCTGGAGTGACATGAAATCCCAACCAAAGAACGTATTTTCTATTCCCGGGCTGCACAATCGCAACTTCTTCATCAACAGAAACTACGGCGGATGTCCTCGGGATGCCGGATGGATGACGATCACGGGTCAGGATTGCGATTGGGAGAGGCGCTTCAATCCTCGACAAAATGTCATCATCTATAGCAAACTGCAGGGATACACCAACTGGAACCACTACGGTAAGGCGTCAACCCTCTAGCCCAGAGAACCTGATTAGTAATGCGCTTATCAATCGGAGGTGGAGGGAGGGGAGGGCCTAGGTTGAGCATTTGCCCTTTATTGTCCACCACATTGTATTTCATTTACTACTTCCATTTATTGATTTAATTGCAGGGAATGTCGCAGAAGCTGATGTGTTGGTGGTTTAT